GGTCCAAGTGCAATCCTCAGACATCCCATCATGGTGTTTCTTACCAACCTAGCCTGGGGCAGGCAGGAAGAGACCAGATTTAAAGAATGTCATAAAAGAAGAGACAAAGAAAAGAAGTTTAGCACTGGCAGGATGACCCAAAGGCTCACAAAGAACAAATAACTAGCATCACTGCACATACCTAATGTCTTACTCCCTCACTACTTAATGTGATTATCTCTTAGCCAGTGCGGCTGCCGTTATCCCACAGAAAGATGGAGGACAGAGCTTCAGTCACATAACTGCATTAAGACAAAAAAGTACAGGTTGTCTGTCACTTTTGAGAAGTAACATGTTTTAACCTCTCACTGGAGGGCATCACTGACATAAGTACCCATTTTTAAGCAGACATCCATGGCTTCCACACACACACCAAAACAGATGTATAAACAAAAAACAGGTAGCTATCACAGAAAAAATTGTACATAGAACCAGCTTCACAACATGTGGCACCAACTGCTGTTACTGACAACAACAAATGTCTAGTGAGCGAGAAGTCCCAACCGGCATAGGTGCCAGCGTTATATCAAATGCCATAGACAAGTGGAAGGTGGATGTTACAGGAAATGTACCAGAGGTAGCAAAGGATTAGCACATATGCTACAGGAAATCCTGTGTTGGCATCTGCAGTATTAATAGCACCAACAAGGATAGCAGTAAGATGATAGGCAGTTCAGCGCTGGGCCAGTTGACATGACGCCATAATGGCCCTGTGTAATATCCAGTGGCAGGCAGCAATGGTCAGTAAGTAAATAAAAAGAGAGAGGCACAGAAATGACAGGAAGGAGTAACAGAGAATAAAGAGACTGATAGAGAGTCAAGGAGGAGAGACAGATGAGATGGGGAGAAAAGAAAAGAGTGGATGCTACAGTAGCAATGAGGTCATTGGAGCTGAAGCGAAGCTGACTGAGCTCAGTAAAAATGTGGAGCACTCTGCAGCACCTGCATATGGGCACACACACATTACTGTAGAACAGAGAACAACCCATAAACACACAATAACACTGCATCCCTCATCTCTAATTTCTCTGTCATCATGGAACCATTCCCACTCTCATAGCTGACCTCTTCACACCAGCCATCAAAAATAGCAACTTCACATCTCAGTCAATACTTCCTGCTTCCTTTCGTGATTCTCCTCTATCCTTAAACATCAGCCTAAAAGCACAATCTCATACACACACACATAAATCAAAACACTGGTGTATACATCCTTCCTGAGCTCAACTTAAAACACTACTGATAATCTCTGGCATTATTTATCCATCTATTTATTTGAATTCTAAGCATCCTGTACTCGTTGTTTTAGCAACCTTACAACACTGACATAACATAAAGCTACAGTAATACGGCCGATGTGGTAACAACTGCTCATTCACACATTTAGCAGACGCAGAAATATTTGGAGTGATGTTTCTGGCCACACAAATGTTGGTTCAAAATTCATGTCCTTTTTCTTCCTACTGAGGGAAATATCTGGATCTTTATCTGCTAAATGCACCACTGTGTTCATCAGCTAGTTGTGAATTCTTCCTGTCTGCTGATTG